GTTGAAAAACAAAGAACAAAAGCAGCAGATACAAAACCGTTAGACTATATCTTTACAAACGCCGGTAGGACTATATCAGATGAAGAAATTTCATCCGGTGCTTACAGGTTTGACTTTCCAATTCGTTGGCTTCAAAGTCCTTCAGATGCAAAGGCAATAGGATTTAGAAGAGTTTTGTTTTCAAAAAGAACTAACGCATTTATGTTCGCAGTATATTTTCATGGGCGGTATAGAGGTCATGATGGTCTAATAGACAAATTTGACGAAATGAGAATCTTTACAGTTCGTTCAGACGAAAGTCTTGAGAAGACTCTAAATGACTTTCAAACTCAAATAAACAAATACTACTGGGAATTTCAAGAAAAATACGATTCTTTACTAAATGGAACATACTATCTGAAACTAGAATATGACAAGATGAACTCCACCGTTTCATTTCAAAGGATTGAAAATAACCCTCCAGAGATACACAGTTTTTATTTTGGCAAGTAGACAAACGTTCTTGGGCACAATTTCTTCGGTTACTAAACCAGAACGAACCATTACCACCTGACGGTCCGTTCTGGTTTATACGCCCACCAGCAGATTTGACAGTTTATAGAAACGTGTTTGACCCTCAAAATGTTATGTGTCATGCAAGTTTCAGTTCAAGCAACAACAGTTTTCTATGTATCGGTAAGGACTTTTATGACTTTGCTTCTAAATTCTACGAACCACCTAGTAACAGTTTCTCTGACTTTCAAGTTTGGTTCACAACAAACGGTGTGCAACATATTATTCCATTGTACTATGACTTTTATCTCGAATTGTCTTTCATATATAACTACGGAGAAGTGCTGAAAAAGTATTGAAAAATGAGTTTTGGTTGAAAAAATACGGTGGAGCCAAAAGTGGCTCGACCTCAAAACAAGCATTTTGTGAAGAATATACCACCCGCCGGAATTCCGGCAGGTGCTTTTTATACAATGTTAATGCAGGAATTCCTGATGAAATCAAATAGGTTAGAGGAATGTATGTAGACCCAAGACTTGTAAACTATATAGCAATGTGGGCTTCTCCAAAATATTGTATAGCAGTTGGAAAAATTCTGGACTCCATAGACAAGAAAGTTCATGAGAAATTAGATGAAGAAGAACTTGAAGATACAGTAGAGAATGCAAAACCTTTGTTCGAAGAAGAAGTTAGAAAAATGCATGAAAAACAAATAGAACATGAACGTGAGATATGTTCTGGTTATAGAGATTCTCCATACGAACTAGACCAATGGGAACAAGAAGATTTAAAGAGAGAATTTAGAGAATATGAACTCGCTAAAATTTCATTAGAAGCTGCAGAAGAGAGGTTAAAGGTTTGGGGTCGTTTTGTACAAAAATATTGTGAGTAAATGAACCATTTATTTTTATTGAATTCGACAAAAATATATTTTATGTTAGAATGTTAGATCTAACATGTTTTCTAACACGTTTTCTAACATCGTAGAAAACACACAAAACTCATCTAATGGCTCGATGTTGTCCATTGTTCTGTTTCAGAACTAGTCTTGTACTTTTTCAGAACAAGACTTGTACTTTTTCAAGACAATATTTGTACTGTTTCAAGACAATGTCCGACGTACCACCAAAAAATATATTTTATGTTAGAATGTTAGATCTAACATGTTTTCTAACACGTTTTCTAACATGGTCTAAAACTCTTGAATTTTCATGAGTTTTCCCGAAATAAAAAATAAAGTTGGTTTTTTTAAAAAAATATTTTTTATTTTTATTGTAAGAACATGTTAGCAACAACTTTACCAAACTCTTTAGTTATGAACCCAACTTCAATGTTAGTAGAGATGAAAAGCTTCATTCCTTCTTCATATACTTTCGAAACAGAAATCCAGAAGATAAAGCAAGAACTTCTCCAAGGAGATTTAGACTGTAGTGCGAAAGATGAAACAAATGAACAATATCTTTATGAAATGCAGGATATTATTGACCATCTACCTAAACTTCCTGAAATACAACAACAAAAACTCACTATTCCAGAATTCGATGAAATAGAAGTCAAAGCAACTGACTCAGTAGAAATAAAGAAGTTCATACGAAAGGTAAACTATGAGTTTCTTGGATTTCATTGCAACCACAAAGTCATGGACAAAGATTGCGACATGGTATATAAGAACATCTCTGACATATATAAATCTGAAGAATTTAAGACCTACGACAACTTTGTTTCGTTAGTTGCAAAATGTGTATGGCAGATAAGAGATAAAGATAGAAGAGGTAAAGTATGGAACGAACAGATAAAACCAGCAACTTTTGAGTTAAAGAAAACCATTGACGCCTTGGTTGTTTTAGCAGGTAAGGTTTCAGAATATAACGCAAAAATGAACCCGCAATGTTCTAAATGTAAAGCAGCAATGAGGAAATATAACTACTCCGTCAAAGAGATAGAACGTATGCGAAACGACTATGCAGACTTAAAGAAAGAAGCAGAGAAACCAGCAGAAAACAAAATGGACATGTTAGCATTTCTAAACAAAAACTATCCAACAGCTGACGATTTCCTTCTTTCAGATGTCAAGAAGAAGTATAAAGAAACTTTCGGCATTGTTAAAACATTCGATGTACTGACAGAAGAAATAGAAGCTACGAAATTGTTTAGAGTCATGAACCATCGCAACATATACCATGTAAAACGCTTGTAAATAGTTATGTTAGAAAACATGTTAGAAAACATGTTAGATCTAACATTCTAACATAAAATATATTTTTATTGAATTCCGTATGAAATTTCATGAGTTTTGTGTGTTTTAGACCATGTTAGAAAACGTGTTAGAAAACGTGTTAGATCTAACATTCTACCCTAAAATATATTTTTGCTGAAAAATGACCAAATTTCATGAATTTCCTCATATGCTTGCGACCGGTAGAAAACCGAGAGAAGAGATTCCGTATGAAATTCATGAATTTCCTTAAGATAGAAAAAATAAAGTTAGTTTTTTATAAAATATTTTTTTTATTTTGTATGTAAGAACAGGAAATGACAAACACTGAGTTTGAAACAGTTAAAAAGATAGACAATAACACCAAAGTGGTTAGAATTGGTGATTTAAACGTAAGATACTCAAAGAAATACAACAAATATTCTTTGTCAGACATTCTAACACTATCTGAAAAGAAAACATCCCACGACTGGGTTAGAAATGCTTCAACTCAGAAAATTTTGACAAGAAATCCTGAGCTTATGATATCGGTAAGATTCTATGGAACAAGAACATATCTCATCGACAAAAGTCTTATACCAGTAGTTTTGTTCTGGATTGACCCAGTTGTTGGATATAATTTCATAACATATGGTTCATTCGATACTGAACGTTGCAGTGAAGGCTTACTTTATATCGTTCAGAAACCAAAGGACTTCAATACAAAGAGATATAAGATAGGAAGAACATTTAATATAACTCAAAGATATGACAGTACAGTCAATAGAGTTAAGGTTGTGTTTGTAAATGATATGAGAGCTGCTGAAACAGAACTGCTTGAAAAGTTTGAGAAAATGTATGGTGCTCCCATAAAAGGTAAAGAAACGTTTGAAGTAGATGAGATAGCTAAAGCTATAAAATTATTTGACGAAGTTGCTGAAAAATACATGTAAAGCGTTTATTTTTGGTCTTTTATACAAGATAGAAAATAACGCTAATTTTATTTTTTTTATTTTTTTATTTTGTATGTAAAGACAGATATGTCAACAACAGAGAACACAACAACTGCTATCGTTCATGAAGCCATAAATGAAGAATACGAGTGGTTCAGTTTAACAAACAACTCCGTCTCATTCGTTCGGTCAAAGACGATATGTACCAAATGCAAAGTATTTTGACAGCATGTTTTGCTCCAGATACTAAGCTTCCTAAAGACTGGTTTAGGAACCAAAGCACTATTGAACTATTAAATGAAGCACAGCGAGACATACTTTTTTCTGAAAATCGTGAAGAACAGCGAGTGGGAGAAAAACCCCAGTCGCCAAAACTCTATGAAAATCGTGAAAAATTGCCAAATGGTTTGAGAGGTTGGTATGTACATAGACTTCTTGTAAATAATGTGGCACAATGGGCTTCACCTCGCTATTCATGGTATGTTTGTAAACTTCTTGACGAAATTCATAGACAAGAACGTGAAAGCTAGAGAACAAGCTTGAAGCAAAAGACAAAAACATACAGAAAAGAATACCACGTTCGGTACCAAAAGGAAAGGAAAGAACTATAAGTATATGATTTACACTGAAGAGATGGAAAATGAAGAAGACAGAGATATGGTTATGTTGCATTTAGTCAGAAGAAACAACAAAAGCTTTTACGACCTTGCTAAGATTTACAAATCTGACAGAAATTGGTTCTATCGCGAAAACTTACCGATTTCAATGACACCGAATGAAGATGTGAAACAAATAGTTCAAGATACTTTACCTCAAACACACTATGATATGAAAGGTTGTACAATTCTTACCTTCAAAGAAGATTTGCCATTGTTAAAGGAAAAAATAACAGAGTATTTTGACAACTTCAAACAAGCAGAGTAAATGAACCATTTATTTTTCAAGCTTGACTTCAGATGGCTCAGGTAGCTCTATAAGGTAAATTGTCTTGTCAAATCCTTCTGGCATTCCGAGTCCTTCCTTCAGACATTCCGAGTCCTTCCATCCAACATTCCAAGTCCTTCCCGACAACTGGAAAAAAATTTCCCGACAACTGGAAAAAAAATTCCCGACAACTGGAAAAAATTTTCCTGTTGTTCGTCCGTAAACCATTCAAATTTTCGAAAATTGAGAACTTTTTGGTCGAACGACAGAAAAAAATTTCCCGACAACTGGAAAAAAATTTCCCGACAACTGGAAAAGTTCTTCCTTCCGACAGGACACAAACGAATGTCCGACGTTCCTCTTCCTGAATGTCTTCCAAAGCCAGAAGAACCGAAAGCTGCAGAACCACAACAGACTAAGACCAAACACTTACATTTTTACGCTTGACTTTTTACAATTTGAACTTTGTTTGCGTAGATATGAATTCTGAAAGAAGTATGAGGGTCTTGTATGACTTTGTACTTCTCCCATAGTTCATGTCTGTCAAACTTACCTGCCATGGACTCTTTCATAAGTTCCATGAAATCGTCTTCGGACAATCCGGGGAAAAGTATGATATCAGTAAGTATTCTTTTAACATCCTTACTTAAACTCTTTGCTGTCTGTACACAAATGACAACAGAGATGTTGAAGTGTCTGAGCTTCTTGAGAATTCGACACATGTCTTGTTCTCTGTTCTTTAACAAAGGATGAGAGGCGAAATCATCTAAGATAAGAAGACATCTGTGAGGGTAAGTCTTCCAATCGTAAGATTGCAATTTCTTCGAAATGTATTCTATCTCTTTCTGTTTGTTTCTGAAGTGTTTCTTCTCTAATATTCTCTGCATTTCCTCATTTGGGTCTTTAAACTTAGAGTTTATATACTCATTTATAGCATTGTACTTCAAAACTCTTCTTTGGTACTTCTTTATCCAATCTAACAACTCAGAGTCTTTTATACATACTAACTTAGACTTTTTTATAATATCTTTGAACGAATTGACGGTTTGATCGAATTGACCAGAAGTACTACAAATGACTACTAACTCATAGAATGGGTTCTTCTCATCTAGTTCTTGTTGTTGTGCAGCCATTTTAGATAAGTGAAAGTCTTGCCCGACCCAGGTGGTGCGATTAGACCTGTTATACCATTCTGAGCAAATAAGAACTTGTCATGTATGGGTTTTATCTGAGCATTTTCCAACTTCCTCTTGTTCTTGTTTAAAACATTCTCAAATTTCTTGTCAATGTCAGCAAACTTTTTTTCTAACATATTTTTAGAAAAATTAAAAATTTTATCTTTTACAAAATGTCTAGCGATTTCGCTATCTATATTCGAGACAAGCTTTTTGACAGCAAAACATCTGTCGACCATAAAATCTTACATAGTGTAAACAAGAAAGGTGAATTTTTCTAAAGTTCTGTTTCTGGGAATATGACAAGAACCATAAAACATTACAAAGAGCAGTCTTAAAATTTGTCAATGACAGACTTGTTGACAGAGATGACGCCGATTGGAAAGATGAAGTCCAACAAAAGTTCTTAGAATGCAAAGAAGGCACATGCGCTGTTCTTGAAGATGAAATAGAAAACAGAATAGAAGAGCTATTAAAGGACAAAGAACTTTTACATAAATATGGTTCTGAGAAATTTGACATAACTCCACCAGAAAAGAAGAAGAGAGAAAAGAAAGAAAAAAGAAAAGAAAGTAGAAGAGAAGAAAGAACCTGAACCAGTTCCAGAGAAAAAGAAATTTGACATGTAAATAAAATTTTATTTTTTAGAACATTTCTGGGTCAATGTCAATGTTCTCTTCCTCTTTAGGAGCAAACACCGGCTTAGACTCTAAAATCTTTTTACCCAATCTACCCTGAACTTCAACTATCTTAGACTCATAATATTCATAGTCGTCTGCTTTCTTTGGTTCATAAGGTATAACAAGTTTGTATGCTTTGCCTTCTTCGAGTTTTGAGAACTTTCTGTCAAAATTTTCTTTGACTGCTAACAAACCTTCTATGTCTAAGTCTTCAAATTTCGCACCATTTTTAGTCACAATAGCAAACTTAACGGGTGCAATGTTCCAAATTTTGTCAAATGTAGACTTTTCAAAATGGTAGAAGTAAACATTCAAATAAGCGAATGGGTCTAGTTCTTCTTTGACTTCTGTCATGTACTTGTTGACTGAAATATATTTCGTCATCTTTTCTATCGGATAAAAAAATATTTTTTTTAAATTTACTCAGAAAAATTTTTCTTTGTATATACGCCGTTCTGAACATCTAAAAGACTTTTGACATTTGCCAAGAATGTTCGTTTAGACGCTGTCATATAACCATACTCTTGACAATATTGTTTATATTCATCGTACAATGACCTTTCATCTAAACACTCAAAGTCGGTTTCATCTATGAACAGTTCATATACACTCTTGTTTGCTTCTAACAATGTTTGTCTCTCTTCGGTATATGGAATTTGTCTTGGATTGAAGTTAGAAATATCTAATGTCATAAAGTATGAGAACAAATGGTTGTAAAAGTCAGATGTCAAAGTTTCTGCTAAGTCGTCAAAATATTCTGTATCTTGCATATGAGAATCTGACGTTCTGACAACTACATATCTTCTGTCAGAACTTTCTAACTTCATCGGAACAACATTGTTTGAAACCATGATGAAATTTGCAACATTTTCACAAACTCTTTGGTCTTTATATTTTCTTTCAACAACTCCAACTTTGTTGTTATAAGACTCTTCAAAGCATCTGAGTTCAAAACTTTTGTTGTATCTATACTTTGAAGTTCATTGCAAACTATAAGTTCATATTCTCTATGAAGAGTTAAATTTACCGCAGATGTTTTCTAAGTTTGTCATATTAGGGTTCGAATAGCCCTCTAACAGTTTGCATAAGATATCTGTAAAGAAAGTGTTCTTACCAGTTCCTTGTTTTCCAATTATAATGAGAGCAGTTTCATTTTTAGCACTTGGATGTTGTAAGATGTTTGCAAACCAACATTAAGATATACTCATAGACTCTTTCGTTTCCATTGCATATAATTTCTTTGACATGGTCTAACCAAGCTTCTATAACATTTTCTTCCATTCTACTTTTTCGTATTTATATCCAGTGAAGATAGAATAGAAGTTTGGAGATGGTGTATAGAACTTTATACCACGAACTGAAAAATCTTCTTAACTTTGACAATAAGATATCCCAAGCATCTAACATCTTCATGCCAACTTGTACGACTTTTATTTTCTTAAGTTTCTGTCTACATTCTTGTTCTGAAACTATTGTTGCTCTTGGTTTGTTAAAGACAACATCCCATTCTTTCATGACATAACATTCTGGGGCAGAGTCAACATAAATGACTAAACGTTTCAAATTCTCGACTGCTTTGTTATAGTCTCGAAATGGACACATATTTCTGAACGCTTGGAAGTCATAAAAATCTGAAACATCTATTCTGTACATTTTATAAAAATAAAAAAAAATATTTTTTTTTATTCTTGACTTTGTTGTTGCATTTGTTGCATTTGTGTTGTTCTTGAGCTATTTGTTGTTGAAGTTGTTCTTGTAGTACAATACTTTCACCAGTTGCATCTTCCAATTCGAAACTTTCTGCCGTCATTGACAAATACATAGGACATAAAAGTTTTACAGGAACAAAGTTTGCGTCAACTAATGTCAACGTTATACTTGCCAAAGTGTTTGAGTTCACTAAGGTTGAAAACTCTGCATTCGAATGAACAATAGGCAAACCAGCAGAGAATGTGTTGTTTATACGCATGAGTATCTTTTGGTCATAGTAGTTTCTGTCGACATTCGAATAACACTTTGAACCTAAGTTTGAAACAATATATAAAATAGGTGTACTTAAAGTCAATGGAACAGACATTCCTTGTATGACACCTTTTCCTGTTATAGGAAACTGTTGGTAGTAAAAACCAGATATAAGTTTGTATTATAGCTCATATTGTTTATAGTAACTCAGTCGGACATCCAAACATAATGAAACCTGCTCTAGTTGCAGCACATGTTACATCCGTCCTTAAAGTATTAAATAAGTCAACAAAACCTGTTGGTGGTATATCTGAGTAAGTATCTTCAAAGAAGTATTTTTTACCATTCACAACAACAAAGTCTTCTGGTGTCAAAAGAGCAAAACAGGCTTTAGTCGTCATCGTGTTTAAGGTCAGTTTACAATATCGTCCTTGAGGATTTGTAAGTTTGTTTTATATAGAATTATATGACTCAGGGTTTTTAGTCGTAATAGTATAAACCACTATGTCTTCTGCCATTTACTTAGCAAGTAAATTTTAATGAAATGTTGTGGTCGTCAAATATTTTTATGACGTCTGGGAAACTATATTTTAAGTTCAACGTTTCACCTCCTTTCATAACGTATATCTTGTCAATGACATTGTATGAAACACCACAGCAAGCAATGTCGGGTTCTATTTCTTTGATGTTTATATCGTCTGCCTCTGTCAAAAGTTTCAATAGTTCTTTCAAAATTTCATGAGGTGCGATGACATATGAGTTCACTTTTTACAGGGTTGTGCTTTCGACCAAGTTTAACATTATACCCAAAGCTTGACAAATCTTCTCCTGAGTTTTAAGTTTGTCTTTAAGTTGTTGGTAGTCGTTTCGAATATCTGCAACAGAACTTAAGTCTCTGCTAACTTCAGGGTATGTTGGTTGTTCTTTTACAGGAACTATTGTTATACCATCTTCGTCTTCGTATGGTTTCCCCACTTCAACATCTCTTTCTTTGACATTGACAACAACACTTTGACTGTTTGTTTGAGTTTGGTGAATTTAACTTCACATCTGCCATCGCCATTAAACCTTTTGAAACACTTACGCTCTATTTTTCGGAAATGACATTTTACTTAGAATAAAAAGATGGACGTATTTGAGTATCTCTTCGAATTGAAGCAAAACAAAGTTTACACACACAAACAATACAAGTTCATTGACAGAGTAGTTCTTTACACAAACAATGGAAAATGTTATAGAATAGCAGTCTTTGCTGAACCAAAATATTTTCATAAAGCAAAGAAAGTTGGTATAACCGAGATGGTGAAAGTTCTTGAAGCAGACAAAAATATAACAACAAACTGACCGATATTTCTAAAGGAAAGTTATAATACAATTATGTCAAAACTGGCGTACTGTCAATATTTTGACGGAGAGAAGTCAGTTCAAGAACAACTTACTGACCTGCTGCCAAAATCTGCTCGATGGAAGCTGTCGTTATACCAATCTGAGGAGCCCCAGCAGGTTTCATCGAACGAATTTCAAAAAGAGCATCTTCGTGAAAAGTGCTATTGGTTTTGTAAAACTTCTTTGCTTTCAATTCATCTGGACCGTCTCTGTCACCAGTATATTGTATTTGAACTGTACCAACAGTTGAAATACCACCCATAAAGTCTTCTGAGTCAGCAAATGGAATGCCAAGCCAAAAGTTTGAACGGTCTCCATTTGTATATTGAGTTTTTTGACCTCCTGTATGAGTCCATACTTTCACATATGCATAATAGAACTTTGCATTTCAGGGTTAATGGTTGTTGTGAAGTTGTTGTTAAAGTTCATAGCATCTAATGTCAAGTTGTATGACCTCATATCCTCAACTGTAGAATATTCTTCTCTTGGATAGTATTTGCCATCTATGTTTATATGATATTTAATACCAGGGTTGTAGAAGCAAGAATAGTCATTTATAGTTCGTCTGAACAGTACAAACATAGTATCTGCATGTTTCATTGCAGTTGTAAGGCAATATCTGTTCTGCACCTGGGTCAGCACTTTGGTTTCCAACTTCACCTGCAAAGTCTTTGACAGATATTTGGTGTATAGGGAACATAAGTGGAACTGCAATATATTTGGCAGCTAAAGCATTTGAAATATCTGGGTCCAACATATAGACTGCAAGTCTGCTTTCTATTCTCTTGCATTCAAACTTTTCGCATGTGAACTTAACTGGGGTCCCAAGCAGTTCCAGCAGCATTGAAATAATAGTTTACTTCAGTGTTGAAGTTTGAGAAAACCAAAGTCTAAGTCAACTTTGTCTTTGCAAAATTCGGCGAATGACGTTTGATTTGCTCCCTTTACGTCTGTAAGAGTGAATGGGTCTTGTGTTGGTGCAATGACTAAGTTATTTTTTGCTTGGAGTAAGTTCGATAGAAATTTTTTCCTGCCCAGTTTGGCAAGTATCTTAAAAACCTGAAGATGAGGAAAGATGACAAAGGAACTCTAAGTTTCAGTTTTACTTTGGTTACTGCTGCTGCAGTTTGTCCAGAAAGGTTAACATAAACTCCTGGAACGTTAGGGTCAAGTCTTCTTATTTTCTCAATAGTTTGCATACTGGTCTGTTTGTCTTCTCTAGCTTGTGGTTGTACTGAGTTTCTCAAAGCGAACCATTTCATAGTTTGCCCATGTTACTGTTTGAACTAAGTCAGAGTTAGAATATATCTTATATCCCATGAAAACTTCTGGAGCATATTGGTATCCGACATAGAAAATTCCATTGCAACCTTTCTTGTCAGACAACTTGGCAGAAGGTTTTATTTCAATGTCTTGTTCCACGTATAAGAAGAGTTGTCAATAGAAATTATATAGAAACCTGTCGCAAGCAATATCTACTGTTGTTGAAGAACCTTCTCCAAACTCACCTACGTTTCCATAAGAAACAGCAGTTGTATATTCGTAAGTTCCAGGAACTATTTCTGACCTTCTAATGGCATTGTCGCATTCGTTATACCATTCGGAAACATTTCCATTCATAGCATCCAAAACTGTTGGCGTTATATTCTGAGCGGCGTACATTTCATATGAGTAAAAATATAGAATAGTTGGATTTATATGTCATAATAGAACCCACGTGGACCAAGCTTTACTTTCTTCCTGACTGAGTTTTTTAACTCTTCTTTTTCCTTCATTGCCCTCTGCTTGAAGTTGTTGCATCTTTGCTATTTGTTCATCTAGTATGTTGCAAATTTCCCATGTCCTTTTTGCCTTTTGGCTCTGGTCGCCCATCTCAGGTAACCTATATCCTAGAAAGAGTTTGTCATAGTTCTGTATTTGAGTCTTCGCGTATTGTTTGCATGACTCTTTCCTGAGTTTCCGGTTCAAGCTCTTCAAACAGTGCCTGTCCATATGGAAATATGCTCGTTTCCAAATATATGTTTTTGTAGCCATTCTGGTTTCTTTCCATGTTACCAACTATATCTTTTTGTGAATGGGAAAGCTTCTACCCAATCTTTCAGTCTTGCGTCGTTTATTTCTGTAGTTGGTTTTATTTTGTCAAGGAACATGTTTTTCAATACTAACATTTCATTTGGTACTGTCCATTTGAGTTTTTCTTAAATAATTCATCCCTTCTCGGTTCATTGTCTGCAAAGTAAGTTTTTATTGACATTTTGTTAAACTTTCATTTGCAAGGTCATGTACAAATAGGTTCTCTTCCTTCGCTCTCCCTAACTTTCTTTCTAAACTCTTCACCAAATATACCATCTCTATGGTTCTGTGTAGTTCTTTGAGATAAATGTTCTAGAACGTCAGGTGTTATATTTCCATCAGCCATGTTCATTTCATACTGGTCCAAAATATCTGCATGTTTCATATCTTTCAATGGCATTAAAGCCGCGCTTAAAATACCAGCTATATCTTGTTCACCATTGACTTCCATTGCGTCTACAACTTCTTGGAATTGTGGTTGTAAGTTTATGAACCACCTATCCGGGTTAGCTTTATGACCCCATCTCATTGTAGTTCCATCGTCTGCAGAAACAAAAGTAGGTTTGTTTCCATCTTGGTTAGGTTCTGAATGAACTTTAAACAATGTTTCATTTCTATATGTTTTCTTGAAATTTAACCTTTTATCTTCACCGAGTTCATCCGAAGATTGAACGTTAAATGCTCGTAAGTAAAAAGGGTTGTTGTATTTGTGTACATTTTTTTTCAGTTCTTCCATTCTATGCTGAATATTTTCATCTGGTGCTGGAGTCTTTTGTATGTCGGCAAACATTTTTCGATATTCTTCTACTATGTCAGCCGAATCTTTCTTAGACTCTTGGAAAGATTCCATATTCACCTCATGCTCTTGTTGAGGGTCAAGATTTTTCGGCTGTTCCAAATCTTCATCTAGTTCTGTGAAGTTAGTTTCCAAAGGAGTGACTTGTTCGTTTCCTTCAGGCTCTTCTAGCTGTTGTTGCTGAACTATTTCTTCCATGTCTGGTTGTATCTGAACTATTTCTTCCTGTGGAGTTTCTTGTACCTCATCTGCTGGCATTTCATATATTCCGAGACCGTTTTTAACAATTTCCCTATCTACGTCATCCGCATTCATAAGCTTTTGTTCTTTCGTTCCGTCTCTATTTTTTACGCGTTTCATGACGAAAGTTGAATTGTCATTTAGCTCTGACATCAAATATCTCGGAGTAAATTCATCCATGTCATTTGGATGATATGCTATTAAATCATATCCCTTAGCGAGCTTGTATTTTCCAGGTTTGAGATTATATCCGTTTTGGTGCTGAGCCATAAAGCTAAATAGGTTCGGGTCAGTATTTCCATCCTTGAACTTTCCAATAGCTTCTTTATATCTGTCACTAAAGTCAACAGTATCTGGGAAACCACACTCTTCTTTAAGCATTTTTAAGAATTCTTGGTTTCCTTGTTCTCTACTTCTTTTATGTCCTTGCTCTGGTTGTGGAGGTGGTTGTTGTGCAGGGTTTTGAACTGATGGTTGTGCTGGATTTTGAACTGTTGGTTGTTGTGTTGGTTGTTGTTGTTGTTGTTGTTGTGCAGGGTTTTGAACTGTTGGTTGTTGTGTTGGTTGTTGTGCATGCCTGTGTCTGTGTCCATGTGACGATGTAAATGTTTTAGGTAGTCCTGGTGCAGGTGCTTCTCTTGGAGGGTTTGGTGGTATATAAGTTCCACCAGCTGGCACATATGTTCCATCTGCAGCGTAATGTCCTACCTGACTTTTCGTTTTTAAGAAAGCATTTACTAGGTCTGTTTTGGTCTGTTGTAACTCTTTTTCTTGACTTTCCACAACAGTTGCTCTAACGGCGTCATAGGCACTTTGAACTGCCTGTCTCGTTGCTGCATCTGTTATTTTCGTCATATTTTGTGCTACTTCTTTTAACTCTTTGTCGAAACCTTCAGACTTCAGTTTCTTTCCAGATGAGAAGTCGTTCACTAGTTTCACCTTACTATGAAGAGCTTCGAAGGCGTTCTTAAAGTCAGCATTCGTTAAAGCTTCATTTGAACTGTCTTCATCCGCTTGTATTTTTGTCCTTATTGACCCTATAAGCTGGGCTGCTTTAGCGTTGGCTTGGGCATCTAACCAGTCATTGTTAGCTTTTATATATTCTGCGCTTTTCATTGCCTTTTGCATGGCTGCGTCGTTATTTTTACTTTCTTGTGCTAAGTTTTCATACTGTACGGTTTGGTTCTGCAACTGTAAAAGTTTTTCTGCCTTTACATTTGCTTCAACTTCTTTTTTATACTCATCGCTATCCATATATGTCTTCAGGGCTTTTTGTTTTATCTCTTCATCTTTCAGTATTTTATATTGAGTAGTATGGTTTTTCAAATTTATGACATCTTGTTCCATTTTTGCTACTTCTGCTGCTTTTTCTGACACTTTTTTCGCATATTCCTCTGTACTTAGTTCTTTCAGTTGTTCTTCTTTCTTCTTTTTCTCTACGTTTAACTCATTGAGTTTCTTTGTGTGTCTGTCATATTCTAGTTTCTTTTCGTTTTCACTTATTTGCTTCTGTATGTCTATGTTTGACTTTTTGACATCTGTTATTTGATTTTTGAGTGAACTCAAATTCATTTGACTTTGAGGGTTATAGGCTGTTCCGTCTGCAGCTCCACCATAGCCTGCCATTTTCGCTAAAAGTGCCGCTCTTAAACCTCCACTCTGTGCACCAACAACTCGGTTTAAAAGCATAGGATTGCTTGACATTTGTTGCAACATAGTGGGGTCATTCAGCATTTGTTGTTGCAACTGTTGTTGTGGTGTCAGTTTTACTATTGGATGTTTCAATGCTCTCTTCCTCTTACGTATATTCTTACGTAGCTTACGTGGCATTTTAAGTGAAGTTAAAAAGCGGTTTTTGACAGATGTTTTATTGTGACTTCTTCGTAAAGACTTTGTTGAGACTTCTTCGTAAATGTTTTGTCATGATTTCATCGTAAAGACTTTGTTGAGATTTCTTCATAAATGTTTTGTCAAGACTTCTTCGTAAAATCAGACAAAAATATATTTTATGTTAGAATGTTAGATCTAACCTCTTTTCTAACATGTTTTCTAACATGGTCTAAAACATACAAAACTCATGAAATTTCATACGGAATTCAATAAAAATATATTTTATGTTAGAATGTTAGATCTAACCTCTTTTCTAACCTCTTTTCTAACCTCATGAATTTTCATGAACTTTCTTTACAAAGTCTTTACGATGAAGAACTTTACAAAGTCTCAACAAAACATTGACAAGAAAGTTCATGAGAAAGACTTTACAAAGTCTTTACGATGAAGAACTTTACGAAGAAATCTCAACAAAGTCTTTACGAAGAAGTCTTGACAAAACATTTACGATGAAATCATGAGTTTTCTACGATGTTAGAAAACATGTTAGAAAACATGTTAGATCTAACATTCTAACATAAAATATATTTTTGTCTGATTTTACGAAGAAGTCTTGACAAAACATTTACGATGAAGAAGTCTTGACAAAACATTTACGAAGAAATCTCAACAAAGTCTTTACGAAGAAGTCTTGACAAAACATTTACGATGAAATCATGAGTTTTCTACGATGTTAGAAAACATGTTAGATCTAACATTCTAACATAAAATATATTTTTGTCTGATTTTACGAAGAAGTCTTGACAAAACATTTACGATGAAGAAGTCTTGACAAAACATTTACGAAGAAGTCTTGACAAAACATTTACGATGAAGAAGTCTTGACAAAACATTTACGATGAAATCATGAGTTTTCTACGATGTTAGAAAACATGTTAGAAAACGTGTTAGATCTAACATTCTAACATAAAATATATTTTTGTCTGATTTTACGAAGAAGTCTTGACAAAACATTTACGAAGAAGTCTTGACAAAACATTTACGATGAAGAAGTCTTGACAAAACATTTACGATGAAGAAGTCTTGACAAAACATTTACGATGAAATCATGAGTTTTCTACGATGTTAGAAAACATGTTAGAAAACGTGTTAGATCTAACATTCTAACATAAAATATATTTTTGTCTGATTTTACGAAGAAGTCTTGACAAAACATTTACGAAGAAGTCTTGACAAAACATTTACGATGAAGAAGTCTTGACAAAACATTTACGATGAAGAAGTCTTGACAAAACATTTACGATGAAATCATGAGTTTTCTACGATGTTAGAAAACATGTTAGAAAACGTGTTAGATCTAACATTCTAACATAAAATATATTTTTGTCTGATTTTACGAAGAAGTCTTGACAAAACATTTACGATGAAGAAGTCTTGACAAAACATTTACGATGAAGAAGTTTTGACAAAACATTTACGATGAAGAAGTCTTGACAAAACATTTACGATGAAGAAGTTTTGACAAAACATTTACGATGAAGAAGTCTTGACAAAACATCCTCAGGGCTAGAAGGCACGAAGTGCCTGGAAGCCCCACTTCCCTTTTTTTTTTTTTTTTTTTTTTTTTTTTTTTTTTTAAAAGATATTATAAAGAGTATTTATATAAATATTGTAAAATAATATAAGTAATAAAAATTGAGACTCCCTCCCTGTTTTTGGGGCGCGTAAAGGGTTGGCGTCCTAAGGCGTCCTGATGTAAACTATTCAATTTTTAAGAAGTTTACACCATAATTGAATAGTTTATGGCGTCCTGAGAGGAGATTTCAATGGGTATGGCGTCCTAAAAAATAGAAGAAAATGATTTTTTCTCAATTTTTCTAGAAATTGAATTTTTTAAAAAAGAAAAAAATCAAAACGTATACATTCAAGAAAGACTATAAATGAAGATTTTTCTATTTTTTTTCATTCTAAAACATCTTTTTTTGGATAATTTTTTTAAATAAATATGTAAGAAAGATTGAAGAAAAAGTAAATTTACTTTAAGAAAATTCGTTTTACATGATGTAAGACCCGTAACAACTATAAATATTCAATTATTTAAAATAAAAAAAGAAAAACAGATTAAATGTATCTCACATCAAAATCCATTGACCTAAGGATGTTAAGTTTCTGTTTTTAAAAGTTGATATTTTTTTCTAATTTTAAGAAAATTAATAGCATGTTATTAGACAATAGGAGTGTAATGATATTGACTAAACAGAAATGAGAGAATAGAGATATAATTTTGATAAGCAATATTGCGAACAAATTCTGAAGTAAAATCGCGATCAATAATTGAAAATTACGATCATGTACTGAAAAATGACGATCGAATTGAATGAATAGAATTATATCTCAGAAAAAATAAATTGTATTTAGAAGATGAACAAAGAAAGGTGTATGCTAAAAATCATTTAACAATAAATGGAAATAAAACGAAATTGTTAAAAGAAAAAAATGAAAATTGTTAAATAATATATTATTTTTTAGTCATAAGAATAAAAATATAGTAGTTATAAAAGGAATTAGACTTCATATATCAATTCTTTTTCTCTGTAGATGTGGAACGTTTGCTTTTCGATCTCTTTCGATGAACTTGAAAATATAAGTTATTATCGCTGAGAATCCTTTCCGAAATAGGAGCTTTACGTTTAGGAGGATTATCGGATGAATTTTGTTTTTTATTGTTTGATTTTGTTGTTATGGAAGATTTTTTCTTATTTTTTTCAGAATTTTGCTTGCTATTAACTGAAACTTGTTTTGACGGCCCAACAATAGCATTTGTAGTAGGAAGAATTCCCAATAACGAGCGCATTTTCGATAATTGTTTTTCAATATGATCAAGAAGGTCCAGCTTATGTTCTAGATTACTAGACATTTGATTTGTAGAAGGATGGTTTTGATTTTCTGGTTCTAAATCTGTAGAGTCTGCAATATTTGAATTTTCGGAGCGAATTGGAGCATCTGAACCTTGATTTGTATCGGCTTGCTCAAAATTAGTTTGAATTGGAGTGGATGAATTAAAATCTGGATGATTTAATGTTTCATTAAATAATGCCATAATTTTTTTCTCTTTTTTCATTAATAAACTTAGTGATCATATATTCATATCATCGGAAATATGATAAAAAGCATATAATAAATGTCAAAAAAGTGAACAAATAAGCAAAGATATTTTTTAAAAAACAATGAAAAGTAATACTTAAATGAGGAATTCTTTGAGATATTGGTCTTAGATTGAATGTAGCGTCACAAATTTCACAAATATAATTTACTATACAATTTTATTCATTTTTTTAAAATGGCTGACGACAGTCTGTATCAACTAACTCAACTAGTCAAGCATAATGATTATTCTTCGGATTCATTAAATCAACTTTATCAATGCATAAGTACAATGACAGAAAGATCAATTGGATGCTTGAATTGGGATAAATTTTTCAAAAAAATCACAGTGACTGATGAAGTTCTTTTACATTTTTTAGCATCCGTTTTAAACATTGAAAAGATATCAGAATGTTTCAAGGATTCTATTTTTTATCACAATATTAATCTTGAAAAATTCAGTAATTTAACTGAAACAGAACAACAAACAATTTTAAATTCCTACAAAGCGGATAAATTTACATATTACATAATGTGCTCACAAATTGTAAAATCAAACTGGAACAATTTATCCCAAACTTTAGTTAATATTGCAAATCAATATTTGCCATTTTTAGATGAAGAAAAGCAAATATATATATTTACTGAAATAACTGGCAATTATCAAAATTTTGAAATTTCAGTTGCAAACTTGTTACTTTTTTATGAAAACAATGAAGAAAAATTAAGCAACTGTTTTAATTTAACATTGTTCCAGCAAATTTATTCCAAAAATGGAATCGAGCAAATGATATTTTTTGCTGCAAATACAATTTGTTGCAATAACACTTCTATCAATTTTTACAATCTCCTTGAAATTGAAGAAATGAATCCATTTGATTTTTTTTATTTCTCAATTCAATATAAAGAGATATTAAATTGCGATGATTTTCCAAAAGTTACAGAAGTAATCACAGGTTTAATCTCAGCTTCAAATATTAATGCTATTATGCGAATTTGCCAAAAAATTTTGGATAAAATTACATTTTATAAATGTAATTATTGCCATATTACCTCAATATGGAATTTTATCACAAATGCAGCAATAATTCTTCCTGATGAAGATTTATTAATCAAATTATTAAAATTCATAGAAAAAACAGAAAAAGCAACAGATGAATTATTCGAACCGGAGAATGATTTGGGTTTCTATGAATATTTAAATTCGATTTTCTCAGATATTACATCTGCGAGAAATAAGCAATTTCTCTTGGAATTTCTAAATACCCATGAAGATGACTTCACTTATATCAAACATTGTGAGGTCATTTTTGATCAACAAATTAATTGAAATTCCGATCAAAAAAAATTCACAAATTGGATCAAAAAAATCGAATCTCAAGTTAAAAATAAAAAATTTCTACATTTTTATCAAATTTAGATTTTTTTTTTCAAATCATGCGAATTGATTGAATAATTGCATATTTTATCCCATGCATCTAGAAGTATGTGTAATATTTTTGCTTTCATCAAGAAATTGTCGAATTTGATCTTAATTTTTTTTGAAAAATATACTTTTAGAAAAAGAAATAGTGATTGAATAGCTGCCCATGCTGTAAAAGGGTTATTTTTACAAGTAAAAAAATTGTTATTTTTCGAGCAAGTCGAGGCTTTTTTACCATCTTATTTTTGAAAAATTTACGAAAAATTATATCTGAAAAAACGCTTCATTTTGATATCTTACAATGATAAAATACCAATGTTGCTGGGATATAATAGCTACACCTGGACATCTACTACATTAATGCGTATGACAGGTAAAGTTGATTTCAAAAGTATAGCCTGGAAAGATTACAATAAATCAACGATAATTCAAAAAAATTTCTTATAAGTTAACATAATAAAAATTTAATTTTTATATTGCTTGTATTATACTTAAGTATATAATATATTTAAATCTTAGAATGAAAATTCGGGACGCCCTAGCTATTCAATTTTCCCTTAGGACGCCCATAAACCTCTCAAAAATGTGATGTAAATATCACAATTTTGAGAAATTTACACTAGGACGCCTTAGGACGCCAACCCCCTTTTTTACCCTGTTTTTGATGTTTTGTCACTTTTTCGGTAATTCTTATTGTTTCTGCAATAGCTGTTCTGCCAGCACTAACAGATCCGAGCATTAAAATATGGATGATCTTTTCAGGCATTACTAATTTCTATGAGAATGTTTTATTGTCGTCTTGAAATTTTCAATTCCGTCTGTGTATATAGTGTGCAAACACCCATGATATATGGAATAACTCTTTATCTGGCTAACAATTCTATTATTCGACAAGAATATCATTTGATTTTATAAGTCCGATTGAGATGAATAAAGTTTGATGATCTCTAGTGTGAAGAAATAAACTTATAGCATTCCTTTATGCCAAAATATCAAATTTGATATAATCTAATTTTGGGCCTCAGGTGGCTTCGCGCCGATAGAATTAATTGAAAATCTGATTGAATTATATTTTATGAATTGTCACAAAGAATCATTATCTATATGCTATAAGGATTATGATTTAAACGATTTGGATTCGAAAAAATGACTATGAGATTTCAATTTGAGAACTTTCACACAATTGAAAGCTCATTGAAAATATAAAATAAATTGAAGATCGTAAAAAATTGAGTAAATCTCTTCACTTCTCACTTATGCGCGTTCTTTTCCTCGTCGCACACGTTGACCCAACACACAAGGCAACAGCATTCAGATTCGCAGACTCAGCAAAGGCAGCCTTAGAGAAGGCAGGCCACGAAGTCAGGTACGTTAACCTCGTCGAGTCTGGTTTCGACAGAACATTGACAACAAAGGACTTCAAGAAGATCCCAGATGGCACATTCTCAATCTTCGCAGTCACAGGCCAAGACAACTTGGTTGACGAGATCAAAGTCCAACAAGAGAACCTCAAGTGGGCAACACACGTTGTCATCTTCGCCCCAATGTGGTACGGCAGATTCCCATCATGCGTCTACGCATACACAGAGAGAGTTCTCAACGTTCCATTTGCTTGGGACTTCGAACACATGCTCGACAAGGGCTACCTCGCTGGCAAGAAGGTCACATCCGTCATCTCCACAGGCAGTGCACCAATGTTCTTCGATCCTAAGGAAGGCAACGGCCTCGACGCATACACATGGAGCGCCCTCTACGCTTTCAACTACTCCGGCTTCACAATCCTCAGATCAATCGGCATCCACGGTGCAAACTCACCAAAGAGAATTGCCATGCAACCAGAACTCCAGCAGAAGCTCAACGAGAAGCTCTTGAACCTCGACAACTGGAAGGTCATCACAGACAAGAAGTTTGTTCCACTCGCAACACTCGACCAAATCACTGAACCTGAAAACTTGATTCAATAAGCTAGAAATAAAAGTACCATTCTATTTTCTTTTAACTCTCTATGTATTTACTTATCTATTCATTAATATTCTCTCCAGATATTTGCTTTTCAATTTTGGTTCAGAGTTCTAAAATGCTATCGATACATACATCTCTTTCAAGATTTTCATTTCTTCTAAAATGAAATCAGCGATATTTTATCCGCGCCCAAAAATCATTACTCCCGGTTGAGAAACAGATCTAAAACTTTTGATTTAGATGATAACAAATTAATCTATCAAAATTTAGATATTATTTAATTTTGCTAGTAATAATGCATTAGATTTACGTAGAGACTCCATAATTAATGTGAATCGTCAATAAATTTTATCCCATATAAAATTATATCTTCGATAATTGTGTTCTCAATGCAGATGCTTGAAATGCTAGAAATTTGTATGATTTTAATTCTTACATGACATTGATAAAATAATCCTAGGCTTTGATGGACTCTCTCAACCTGATTGTCCAAACGGTAAGAAAGATTGCCCAGAAAGGAGAAATGCAAATTATTGTCCCAATTCAGATAAGTCTGATTGGTTAGAAAGATTATTTTGGAACATATTCGATGAGTTCGTTAATTCAAAATCAACACATAGCGATTGCATAGCCACAGCAAGTTTTCCCTAAAAATGTTATTGATCGATCAAAAAATAGCTTCAATGATCAGTAAAGAGTATGAAAACAATCCAATTCTCAATAAAATTGTTCCCAAATGAAAGACATATAATAATCTCTGAATCACATGCATTATATTTCGATTTCGCCTGCATCCATAATTGAGAACAATCCTATCCTCCATATTTAGGCAAATTGGGTTCTCAAATAAAATTTGACAATTTTTCAATTAAAATTACAGATGCGCTCTTTTTTCCAAAAAGCGGCGAATGTTGTCTCAGGCAATCAGGGCCTATCCGGTTCCACCATGAACATAGGTGGTACTTCTGTCACTGTTGGAGACAAAATTGCTGAAGGCGGCTACGGATGCATTTATAGAGCAACTGATAACTACGGAAAGACTTATGCTGTTAAAGTTCTCCAAGCGCCAGATCAGGAGCATTTCGAAATGATTCAAAAAGAGTTTGAGATTCAAAAGAAATGCTCACAACATCCAAATGTCGTTAAAGTTTTTGGTATGTCAACAGATAACAGAACAAGGCAGACAACAATCTTAATGGAGTTTTGCCAGAGCGAATGCGTCAAAGAAATGAACCAATACTTCAGCCAAGGTTTCTCTGTTAATAAAATTATCGAAATCTTTACACAAGTTTGTGATGCAGTTAATTTCATGCATACACAGAACCCACCTATCAGCCATCGTGATCTCAAAGTCGAAAATATTCTTTATAACGAAGGAAAGTACAAATTATGTGATTTCGGTTCTGCTACAACACGTGTTTACACGCTAGAAGATTCTGGTGAAATCAACCAAGCCTCCGACGATATCCAGCGTAACACTACACCTCTCTACAGATCACCAGAAATGTGTGATCTCTACCGTCGCCAGAAAATTGATACTAAGTCTGATGTTTGGGCTATCGGTGGCATTCTTTTCAAGCTCGCTACATTCCGCGATCCGTTCCCAGACGGCTCAAATCTTCAAATTCTCAACTGCAGCTACAGATGGCCAAACGACAGACAGGTTAATCCAAAGATAAAGAAACTTGTCGAATACTGCTTCGAAACAAACCCAGCTAAGCGTCCAACCGTTCGCCAAGTTCTCGCAGCCACCTACAATGAATTCCCTGACTTGGTTGATAAGAAATGGCAATCATCCCAGTCTTCTGCACCACAAGCTGCTCCTGAACAGCCTCCTCAGCAGCAACAGCAATCTGTCCCTGAATTCTCTCCATACCAACAGCAAGCTCCAATGCAAATACAAGTACCACAGAACCAAGTATCATTCGGTGGTTGCAAGCCACCTTCTGGCGAATCTTCTCCAGTTGGCAGCCAAAATACTTTCAATCTGTTCCAAAAGGCCGCTTCTCAGGAGATTTTCGGAGGTTTTGCCACTCCGGCCGCTAATACAAATCCACCTCAGTATCTTAATTTCGGAACTCCTCTTCAACAGCAGCAGAACGCTTCTTCTTTAATAGATTTCGATACAACTGAAACACCAAAGGCTGAAGCTCCAGCCATGATCGACCTTTCTGCATCAGCTTTGTCGATTGATACATCTCGAATTGAAAAAGACAGAGATAACCTCATCAAAGAAATTCTCGCAATGGACGATTCGCAATTATCATCCGCACTTTACTCGATAAATACAGTTTCGCCAGAATTTTCCGTTCCATTTTACTTCGCATTAGTACATGCAGCAGGAACACGTGCTCCTCTTATCATTCAGTACCTTCCTGTTGTCAACCATCCACAATTCGCAGCTCTAATTGAAGCAAGAAAGAATTTCTCCTCTCATTATACTCAATACGAAGGAAATTACGCTCTTGGCGCATTTATGATCGCCAACAAGGCTAAGCCACCACCAGTTGGACAACCACCAATCTGCCAGGATGCCGTAAAAGAGATTTTGAGTACAATTACAGCATGTGTTGGCGCATTGAGAGTTATTGCTCACCATGACCTTGCTGAAGAAGCTTTCTGTGCTTATCAGGTTGCAGCATATTGCATTGCTAAGCTTAAACAGTTCAAAGTCAACGAAGGATATATTGATGCTGTTCCAGTCCCAGCTTTGAAGAATTTGCACGGACTACTCAAGAGAATATTCGATGCAATGCCAGAAAAGATTCCTTTCCCTGCCGAGCCTTTCGACTTTGGCAATGCGGAATTTTTGAAGAAGATCAGAGCTCCAGCTTCAAAACCACAACCAAAATGAGTTCACCTTTCATTTAGAAATTATTAATAAACCATTAAGTGCCTTATAATCATCGTATTTTAAACTAATCTCTTTTATATTAATATAATTAAAATCTTTTTTTCACAAATTATTGTTGGTGTTCTTATAATGCTAGGTAAAGAAGAAAAATAAAGATATCATATCGAAATATAAATAAGTTTTAAGTATGAAACAAAAAGAGTAATGAATTATGCAACATCAAGCTTTTCCTTAATTTCCTGGTTGGTCTGAATAATCGAATTATATTTGGCTTCTAAGGCAACATTTTCAGCTTCTAAAGATTTGTTTTCATTTTGGATTAGTTGTAATTTCTTCTTAAGTATATGATATTGTTCTAATAAATCTTCTTCGCTTGTTGATTCTGGATCTACTTTCCAAGAATCGTCTTTTTCTTCTGTATTATAGCGTTCAGAAATGATTCTGTTATTTTCTAATAGTTCTGTGAATGGACTCAATGTTGTTTTATATGCTTCTTCTACTACTTTTGAGATTTTCTCGATGATGCAATCATAAGAACGTCCTGGAACGCATTGCTTTAAAGATCCAGGTTTTTGGAATGATGATATAGAAGAAATTTCTGAATTCTTTTGGTCTCCATAATCACTAGTATTATCAAACGTACTCATAATGTATACAAAGGTGACGTTTATTAATTTTTCGACATGTGATATGAAATGAAATAAAAATATCGTGGAATTATAATGATTAATGGATTCATCGCTTAACAACTATGAACAATACAGACATAATAGATCCTAAGATATTATAACTTCGAAGATCTCTAAAATTCCATGAATATTCCATCATGTTATGATTTTTTTCTACGTTTGAAGCGATCTAATTCAAGAAAAAGATAGTAGATTAAGAAGTATTAAGAACAAGTTTTTACTCAGCGTTGAACTTAGCGACGGCCTTGCCACCTTCTGAAACGGCGTGCTTAGCAAGATCGCCTGGAAGGACAAGACGAACGGCTGTCTGAACTTCGCGAGAACCGAGTGTGTTACGTTCGTTCATATCGACAAGACGAGCACCTTCCTGAGCAATACGCTCGAAAATATCTGTAACGAAGGAGTTCATGACCATCATAGCCTTGTTGGAGATACCAATATCTGGGTGGACCTGCTTAAGAACCTTGAAAATGTAGGAGGAGAATGTTTCTGCACGCTTCTTGTGGCGGAGCTTCTTATCTTGCTTGGCAGCGTTGGCAGCATCGACTCCCTCGACGGCTGGCTTCTTCTCTGTTGGTGTTTTAGAGGCTGGCTTCTTTGAAGACATTCTAAATAATGATCACTTTTTCGGCGCCAAACTTATGATTTAATGGATGTTAAATTTGATGGGTCCAAAATGGCAAATTGATGAAAATTGAAAAATGCCATTTTAGACCCCGTATTCATGAAGACCAACATGGCGGGGTGAAGTGTGGATCATTATTTGTAATGCCAGCTAAGAAAGGTGTTAAGAAGACAGCAACAAAGACAGCCGTTGATGGTGAACGCCAACATCCAAAGACACGTTCATCTCGTGCCGGTCTTCAGTTCCCTGTCGGCCGTCTTCACAGATTCCTCCGTGAGGGCCGTTATGGTGAGCGTGTCGGTGCAGGTGCTCCAGTCTTCATGGCCGCTGTTCTTGAGTATCTTACTGTCGAAGTTCTCGAACTTGCAGGTAACGCTGCTCGTGATAACAAGAAGACACGTATTTCTCCACGCCACATCATGCTTGCCGTTCGTAACGATGAAGAATTGAACCAATTACTCTCCAACATCACCATCGCTTCCGCTGGTGTTGTTCCACACATCCACAAGGTCCTCCTTGGCAATCCAAAGAAGGGCAAGGATGCTTCCCAGACACAGGAATAAATATGTTTATAGAGTTGAATTTACAATATTTTTTCAAAATAGATTGTTTAATGTTTTGTTTAACATGAAAGTTTGGTGTCAATATGTTGAATATGTTTAATTCATCTAATTGCTCTTGAATTCTATCAATATCAATTAATTATATCAATATATATATATTCAATTTTGATATTTATTTAATAAAATCACAAACAAATTGCATGTATGAGTCCAAACATTTTGTTTCATTGTACTAATTTTGATGAAATTAGACATTTAGAATTCCAAATTTCTTTTGAAAACCATTTTTTATTTTGAAAAAATCTTAAAAATAACTTCAAATTATGAAAAATGAAAAAAATTTGGAAATTTGAAGACCATTAAATCATTTTATTTTAGATTTAAAATAATTTTTACACTGATATTTATCTCCTTTTATGAAATTTCAATCGTTAATCTTCAATTATGATCAGTAAAGCAAAATAATAACAAATTTTTCATTGAATAGCAATTTTAAAGCATTACTTAGTATATAATTGACTTAATTTTCAAAACGCCTATCGAATCATCAAAATTTTTAGGAAAAGAGATTATTTTATCAAAATAAAACGTGCGCTATATGCATAAATGAAACATCAAACTTTCCTTTCTTATGTAGAATGGATAATTATGAAATTTACTTCTTTGATTGGATATATAAATCCGAATTATGATAAATTTCTTTAAGTAGAAGAGCGCAAAGAAGTCAAGTCCGTAATATAATGTAAAAATCAATGAAATGCTAAAAAATAGTTCTGTTTATGAGAAGATTGATCAGCTAAATTATCAGATCTTCTGTAACTGGGATGAACATCTATTATTGAGTGTCGGAATAAGAATGACTGGAAAGTATGGATAGAGTAGATATCTATTATAAAAAGTAACTAGAGAAGAAGTTTTTCGAAAAAAGTCTTGTGGCAAGAATTAATCTTAAAGTCTTATGAATCTGTTTATTATCGATTCGTTAGGATGACACTTGTCAATGTATTATGAGGACAATGATTATGGAGGAGAGGACGTAGAAAATTGAGAGGATTGATTAGTGTATCGTACTGCAGTATTGCCTATTATATATTTTTCTTTTTCAAGAGTTTGATATCGAGAAATATATCTGTCGTTAAGAAAGTATTTATTACAAATGGCAATTGATCATTCAAAACGTGCGATACTATATAGAATGATGTAGCACGATGATGTTTTAAAAAAAGATAAACTATTTTATATTTTGGTTCGAAGTGAGAAGTAATTAAAATTCGTAGAAAAAAATTAAAAAATTAAATATAAGAGGGCATCTTTATTCGTTAACAGCCCCATAAGGGGCTCAATGTCATGATGCGCCGGGTGCCCCTAAAACGGGAATGCCTTAAGGACACCCGGGTGACATCATGGGCCCTTACTTGGACCTCATCATCCTCCTCTTTCTTTTCAGTCTCCGCATGCGCTTCTTAAGCCATTTGCCACGCATTTTAAGTTATGCTGGACCAAACCGCTTTCCTCTCAATATCAAATTGAATGATGTCACTTTTAGAAATTGACTATTAAGAAAAATCTTCGAACACAATAAATCTAAAAGCATTCAGTATGGCGATTCCAAAATTCATAATTTTAATGTAATCTCTTTCCAGAATGATTTCTCATTCAAAAATAAACCGAAAAATGTCTATCTGAGGATTGTATAATGAAGGAATTGAAAATTCAAAGCAAAATTCATATATGTTTTGTCAAATAATTATTAACTGAACCCGATTTTAACATTTTTCATCATTGAATCATCTCATTTTATATTTATGAAAGTGTGAAGAGATTTTTCTGAGGATTATATCAATTCTTATGTGATAAGAAAGGAAAAAAAAGTTTAAAATTAAATTCGTCATAATATAACATACATTTACAAACAAAAACAAATTCTAATATTACATATTGACAGTAGGGATTGTTGGACGTGGAGACGAACCAGTCGCGGCAGATGGTCTGCGCTGGAAAGTTTTCTGCTTTTCCATTGTAATAGAACGCATTGCCAAATCGAATGGCTCGTGACCATATTTGAGGAGAACCTCCTCAATCCATTGACATGTTTCGGGTGAAAGGTTTTCTTCACCGATTGAATCTTTTGTTGCAGCAGCTGCGGCAACTTCTGGAGGAAGATCTAAGTAAAATTTAGAGCAGAGGACTAAACAAATATCAACAATAACTCCGTTACATATTCTGATAAAGTTTTCATTTGGTATATGAGATTGAAGGTTGGATTTCCAACGTTCGAAATGAGTAAATGGAAGTTCAAAATGAACATTAAAATCTATTGCTTTGAGAAGATCTAATTCTGCATGTGTAATCTGTTCGAGATGTTCTTGTGGCATTTGGCCTTCAGCTCCAAGTGTATCTGGTCCAACAAGACTTCTAATAATGGTAGAGGGAGCTGATCTGCATATTCGACTTAATTCATCGTAAATCATTTGCATTGGCCTATATGAATTTTGAGATTTGCAAGAAGTGAAAAGAGCAGCAGTCATTAATATAAATAATCTATATGGGCATTCGTCTGTATTTTTGAAATAATTTTGTAACATAATAAAGGCTGTTGCTATGATTGGAGATAATTCAAGTTTCAAATTAATTCTTGATTTGGAAATAAGAGTCCAGACTGTACGCCTTTGGTCATCGGACCATGTTGTCTTAATAACAGAGAAATCATTAGGATTTGGGGGGCCTGCACTCATAATAGAATTATTTAATATTGTAAATTTTTCAATTATTGAATGATGATGAATTTGTTGAAAGGCTCATAGAAAAAAATTCATTTGCAAAAATTTGAATGAATTTTTTTGCAAGGATATGACAACTTGTCTGATATTAGAATTAATTTTGTGATCGGTTGACACTTTTCGAAAATTGAAAGTGACTTTTGAATGATCTGCCATTTATAAAACTGACTCCTCGATTAAGATTTGACATAGAATTGTACACAGAATAAAAATATTCATATTTAAGAATTTCAAAATCGATGATTTTCAAAGGAAAATTGATATAACAATAAGCCTTGATGCTTTGAATCAGAACTATAATTGAAGTAAGAATGAATCGATTTTTTGTTTTGTATGGGAAATTCGTTTTCAAGAATATTGTGAGTGGATCTATTTGTAATGCTGGGAACACAAAAATAATTTCTTTATAAATTCAGAAGAAAGTAAACTTTACAACAAATTCATTATAAATGTTCGGACAAATAAATTGTGAATGAAGAACAAGCGTTATAAATCAATTTTCCTTTGTGTTTGCACATACTCTCTAATTTTTAAATATCGAAATCATTACTAACGTACATTTCAGCTGAAAACAATTCACAAAATTTATCAATATGCTTTATGATACATTCTAAATAATATTTATTTTTCTTTCAATATTCCGGTGCTAATTTTTTTTTTGAAATTCTCACAGCTAAATTTCTAGTTTTTTTAGTTTGTATAGCATCACCACAACATATAATAATCAATACATATATTAATTTTGAAAAATTTCTTATTCTGAACTGAAATTTATTATTGGTATAAAAGTATTCATAATTAACATAGAAATACAAACAGGTTTAAAATGCAGCCGAAAATGTAAGCATTGGAGGAAGAGCTGCAGGCTTCCTAAATGCAGGATATTTATAAGGACCGGGTTTAGGCTTTGGAAGCGACTTTTTACCTAAAACAACACCAATTCCCCTCGAAGCCATTGATTGAGCCGGAGGTTGAGAAGCATGTAACTTGTTGTATGCTTTAATTCGTTCAACAGCCGCTTTTCTAGCTTCTGAAACCATTTTCTTCTTTTCAAGTTTAATAGGAGTCAGGGATTCTGCTTCTGCAGGTGGTTCCTGCGGTGGTGGCTCAATTTCTATTGGAGGACGTATTGGAGCAGGCTGAGTTTTAGGTGCAGGTGGTGGTCCATTGACGACAAATGAAGCATATGATCCTGGACAACCATATTCATGCCATTTTGCATATAATTCGTTCAATTCCGCAAAAACTGGGTGAGCTAAAGCTCCATCTACAGTTATTCGATCTAAAGGATTATATATTAATAAATCTTCTATTAAGTCTGTGACTAAGAAACTTGTAGGACTCATGAAATCAGCAATATGCTGTCTTCTTCTGTATGGAAAATTATAATTTAATTGAGTATTCGGATTTTGTAAAAATACCTTAAGAATATCTTTTGTTGGAGTACCACAAAGAGCATGAATTCTATTAATCTGATCTAATTCATGTTTACCTGGAAATAATGGACGATTTTCTAATAATTCATATAACATGCATCCAACAGCCCAAACATCAACAGAAGGGCCATATTGACCAGATGTTAAAAGAATTTCAGGGGCTCTGTACCATCGAGTTGATACGTATTCTGTGTATGGACCTCTTTCAAAAGATTTTCTTGTTGATCCCAAGTCGACTATCTTCACTTCCAGAGTTTCCCTATTAATCATACAGTTTTCTGGTTTCATATCTCTGTGAAATAGGTATTTTGCGTGCATTGCAGATAAACCTTGAAGAATTTGATATATGATTAGTGACGCTTCTTTGGTAGGTAAACCGGATCCAACCATGCAAGTGTATTCATATAGGTTCATATCAAGTTTTTCGAAAACAAGTGCTAGAGATTTTTGCTTAAAATCAAATAAAACTTCATGTAATTTTACGATAAACGGACAATCACGTAATTCTATAAGTGTTGTGATTTCAGGTAATTGTTTTACTTCTTCTAACGTTTGATATGGATTTTTCATTCTTTTAATTGCAACGAATTGTCCTGTCTTTTTATCTCGAGCCTCATATACATCGGAGAAGGAGCCTTCGCCCAGTTTCCGAGTGACCTCAAAGTCGGTCGAAAACGTGGGCAGCGCCATAAATCTTTATTGAATAGTTTACACATCAAAAATAACGAGGATTTTAAAATTTTTGACAGCACTGTTATGAGGGTATGAGAGAATTACTTTTCAGATTAGCCGAACGCTGATTCTAACATATAAGCATATTTGTTATAATCCGAATACAGTAATTCATTAAAATATCTCACATTTCAATCAATATTTTTTTCTATTCTTTATATTAAAGTATTATTATTTTGAAATATAAATGATTTAGTTAACAAGAAGAAAGGTTTGTTTCAATTTATGGCGTGAGACACAAGTTAATTTAAATTGAATATGAAAATCACATTAATATACGATTTCAAATATTAATATCATATCCTTATATGCTAGGTCAGAATATACTGCTTCTCTTATTACAATAAATTAGTATAGAAAGTATATTGAGGAATAATTCATTATATTAGCAATATTTCACATGATAAGTTCTCATTTATGATGGGAAATTGTAATAGAGTTGCATTTCAAACTAGAACATTGATTAAGTCATCAGAAAGATTTAGATTTTTATCTCAATAGTTTTTTCACGTTTTATGAATTTATTCAAGAGAACTGTTCATTCTTTGGTTCAAATATTGTTGTCAAAGGATACTAATATATAGAGTTTAAACATTATGAATATATTGTTGAATGTAAAGTCAACAGACATCTAATCTTTGAAAATGATGAAATGTTCTGTTATTAGTGGACAATTTTAGAACTGTGCAGCTTACTAATACATTTCCTTTTTATTGTTTGGATAATTAATGAAATCATGATTTATTGTCAATACTCATGCTAAAATGCAAAGAATTTCATAAATATGGCTTCAAATAAAAAAAAAAAAAAAAAAAAAAAAAAGGTAGTGGGGCTTCCAGGCACTTCGTGCCTTCTAGCCCTGAAGATGTTTAGTATAAATGAAGTTTTTATTCGGAGGGCTTCCAGCCCATAAGAAATTTTTCCCAAGACCCAAGAGGAGGACCGAACCCCAGCCGACCAGCCGTTGACTTTTTTGTCAAGACTTCTTCGTAAATGTTTTGTCAAGACTTCTTCGTAATGAGCGTAAATGACCCAAAAATAATGTTTATGTTAGAATGTTAGATCTAACACGTTTTCTAACATGTTTTCTAACATCGTAGAAAACTCATGATTTCATCGTAAATGCTTTGTCGAAACTTCTTCATCGTAAATGTTTTGTCAAGATTTCATCGTAAATGTTTTGTCAAGACTTCTTCATAATGAGCGTAAATGACCAAAAATAAAGTTTATGTTAGCATGTTAGATCTAACACGTTTTCTAACATGTTTTCTAACATCGTAGAAAACTCATGATTTCATCGTAAATGCTTTGTCGAAACTTCTTCATCGTAAATGTTTTGTCAAGATTTCATCGTAAATGTTTTGTCAAGACTTCTTCGTAATGAGCGTAAATGACCAAATTTCAAGAGTTTTCTACGATGTTAGAAAACGTGTTAGAAAACATGTTAGATCTAACATTCTAACATAAACATTATTTTTGCTGTAAATTTCATGAAATTTCATGACTTCTTCGTAAATGTTTTGTCAAGACTTCTTCGTAAATGTTTTGTCAAGACTTCTTCGTAAATGTTTTGTCAAGACTTCTTCATCGTAAATGTTTTGTCACTTTTCTGTAGCTTTTCAGGAAAAAAAACATTTTTATTGTATATAAAATGAATTTTACAAAACCACCGTTACCCTTCTTTGGAAATAAGAGTAGATGTAAAGATATTCTATTGAGAGAACTTAAGAAACTACCGAATGGTCTAACATTTGTAGACTTGTTCGGTGGAAGTTTCTATATATCTCATTTGTGCCATACAATATTTCCTGACTCAAAGATTATATGCAATGACTTCGACAACTATATGAACCGTCTCAAACATATTCCAGACACAAACAAAATATTGAAAGAGTTAAAAGAAAAGATACCTATAGGTAAGATGGAACGTATACCATTAGATAAGAAAAATACTGTCAGAGAGGTTTTGAAAAAAGCAGAATATATTGACTGGGATAGTATATCTGCTAGACTATTATATAGTGGTTCTATAAGAGTTCATGACATTGAAACACTTATGTCAAAAGTTTTATATCTTAACTATACAAATGTTTTCAAAGAGGACATAGAAAAATATATTGAGGGTATAGAGTTTGTGAGATGTCATTGGACAGAGTTGTATGAAAAATATAAAGACAAGGAAAATGTTTTCTTTATAGTGGACCCGCCGTTCTTTAACACATGGGATTTTCAATACCAAGTAGACTGGACTTTGAGAGACTCTTTAGAAACTTTAGACGTTTTACATAACCATCCATGCTTTTACTTTACATCCGATAAAAGTGGTTTGGAAACCGTTATGAGATGGTTAGAGGACATACATGACTATGAGTTTAGATACGATAAGATAGAATATGAGAGAGGTCCTATAAACTGGAGAAAGTGTCATAACAAAGAAATTTTACTAGTAAGTAAATGTGGTTTGAAATAGGACTACTTGTTTTAGGTTTTTTCCATTGTGTCATTTATTTATTTGACGTGGCAGAAAAGTACAGAGAATATGAAGATGAACCAATGCCTGCAAATGTTCAGCATATGTACTCGTAAGAGATATTTTTATCTAATATTAAATGGACGCACAGAACTTAGCGAATGCACAGCAACCTGGACAACCAAACCCAGAGAATATTCCAAATGAAGTTAGAATACAAACTGCAATGGCAAACTATGGTCAAGTGCCAACAGATGTACAAATGCAAACTGCCATGTCAAATGACGCTGCGTTAGGTTTGCCACCATGGTATGCAAATATGAGATGGAAAGAGTTTTTACAAACCCTGAAGTGGGATATAAACAACTCTATGCAGATGACGCGAACACAGGAGTTGACCCAGAATATGTTTTCTACCAGAGGAGAAACAGAATGTATGAGCTCCAGTTAAAGAATGCTATGGAACTCAACAGGAAACGTAAGAGACTAGGCGACATTAGATTTTTACATATAGTAAAATGGGTTTCTTCAGTAAGATAGGAAACTTCTTTCGAAATGTTGGAAGAGGTATATGGAATGGAATAAAAACCGTAGGAAGAGGAATTTGGAACGGAGTCAAAAATATTGGTAAAAGAGTAGGTCAGTTTGTTGGTATTATACCTAAAGACCCTGAACCAGAAGACAAGCTCCTGTTATACAACAGCCTGAACCTGCACCACAGTCTAGTTTGGCAACCAAATCCAACACCTCAACCGTATTAAAAAATTATATTTTTACCGTTCGATAGTAGTTGTATATGAAACTAAGTTCTAAGTAAAACGCATGGTATAATGGAATTATTCTTTTTCTTCCATCTGTAGTAAACCATACTTGAAAGTCTGAAATACTTCCACTTGGTGGTTCGTATAACTTTGTAGGTTTTTCGTAAAAGTCATTTGCCAAGCATAAGAAAGAGTTTTGAGCGCCAGAAAATGAAGCATGAACAATAATAGCAGCTGGGTCGAAAACATTTTCATATGTTCCATTAGGGTTTTCGACTTCATAAAAGTTCGGGTGTACTGGATATTCTGCAGGCTGATTTAACATCCTCAAAAATCTATACCATGCCAAGTTGTTATATTTTGTAGAAATATAAACGTCTTCTCCAAGGTCTTCTATTCTATTGATTTTAACAGTTGCATTTTTCCTGTCATAAACAATATCGAGATGGTACTCTCCTTCGTCAATGTTGTACTGTTTTGCATATTCGAGATAGATATCGTTTATTTTTTCTTGAAAAGCTTGAAGAGTTGTTTCTAAGTTTACAAGCAAATTCACTTGTAAAAGTTTTCCCTGTTCAAATTTCTCATACGTACGTTTTTCTTTGTTATAGTATCGAACTTCAAAAGCGACCGTAAATGGGAAACCATGTATGGCTTCTGAAATGAACTTCATTCTACGAAAGCCAACAGCTTTTGTGACGGATGGGTCTCTTAACCATCTCAATGGGTAGTCAAAACGATAGCCTTCATGCTTTACGGTCTCTGTCTCAAACTTTTGACCGACATTAGTAAAAAGTTCATCTAATGGTTTAGTTGTAGCAACTCTTGAATTTTCTTTTTCTATTGAAAGCATATTTTATCTAGAATAAAAATGTCGAAAGAAACAGCGTCTATGAGAGAAATACAACACAACCGACAACTCATTGTGCAAGCTCTAAATAAGAACACAACAAACTTTTCAAACTATTCTAAGATATCTGAGTCATTGAAAGAAGGAAACTTAAAACTGACATTAAACCCTTTAACAGACGAGTTTCTGTTTCAAGACAGTAAGAACCATACTGTTTGTATAAATCCAACAAAAGGAACTTTAAACGAGAAACCTATAAAAGAACTTCTTTTGAAAGCAGATGTTGACAACAAAGCTGACAAAGAGTATGTCATTGAAAAAGTTCAAGAAGAACATGACAGAGCAGATGCAAATATGCAACGAAAGAACATACTCATCCTGAACTAGCAGACCAAACATATGTTGACAATAAAATGTCAAGTGAAGTGACAAGAGCTGAAAACGAATATTCTAAAAAGACTCATACACATACCATTGCAAATATTACAAACTTACAAGAAACCTTAAACAAGAAAAGTGACGTTGGACATACACACGATTTCTTCGCAACTGTTGGTATAGAAAAATATTGCAGGAACGGTTGAAGAACCTGATGGAACTGGTGGGGATGTATTAAATTGGAAACCTCCTAACTTTCCACAAGGTTTAACATCGGATGAAGACATAACGACGATGAAATACACTAGATGTAGAAATGTCTATGTCATGGAGGATGAAAACAATGTTAAATTCACTGCTCAAGATTTATATGATAAGA